GAGCCGTCGACAGCTTCTTGAGTAATTCCCATTGTAAAACACTGTTGCTCTCGCTTTCCCCATTTTATTAGAAAATGAGGTGGTGTAGTGAAGATTGGTACGCTTACCACATGCGCGTTCTGGCAATCAGATATCAGGCAGGCTCCCGTTCAGGCCAACCACGTTTCTCTCTCCATCATAGTTGTATGTGTGGATATTTGGACACAAATCAGTGGTCATTTTGATAGTTTTGTTCCTGATTTTCCTGTTCCTGATTGTAATTCACACCAACTTTTATTCGTTACGAGAAGGAGCACCCGGTGGCAGCTGAGCGGCCGGGCGCTGGTTGTCCTTTATAAAGGAAACCCTTATATGAACCCATTCAGTTCCTCAGTATTTTCTAGATGAGCTCAAGCATCGCAAGGAACGAGCTGTGTACAGTCTCTTCCACCCGGTACCTGTACTAGTTCTGAATCGCAGGGACTGTTCATGCCACCAGCGCCTTGCGATTTATTCCCCCTAAACTTTGCCTTGACACCTTTTTTGCGAACGTACTTGTTCTGTAGCTAAAACTATATTGTTTATCGACTGCTATATTGTTGCAATTCGTCTGCTAACAAAATATTGACGAAATCTTTTATTTCTTCGGATAATTAATGCAAGAGTCATGAGGTCGTGAGAGTAAAAGCAATGAACATGAAAGCCCTTGAGCGAATCAATGGATTAATATCCAGGAGCAGTTCTGGGAGGAGGACAGTGATCGCAACCACCTCCAGCTCCGGTGTTTCCAGAAGGTCCTTGTTCTCCAGGTGCTCCTGGGTTTCCTGGGGCTCCATCGCGTCCTGGGTCTCCGGGTGGTCCTTGAGGTCCAGCTTGTCCGGGCTGTCCAGGTGCTCCAGGCTGTCCATCGGGTCCAGGTGGTCCAGGGGGTCCTGGGGGTCCTGGTGGTCCATCGGGTACTGATACCTCCTCAACAACTCCAGGTGCTCCAGGTTGACCAGGCTGTCCGGGCTGTCCATCAGATCCAGGGGGTCCTGGAGGTCCTGGGGGTCCGGGCTGTCCAGGTTGACCATCGGGTCCAGGTTGTCCATCAGCTCCAGGGTTTCCGTTAGGTCCCTTGGGTCCTGGGTTTCCTGGTGGTCCTGGAGGACCAGCAGGGCAGTCAAAGCAGAAGTCATCAGCGGTAGGTACTGCATCAGGTTCGGCATCAGTGCCAGGTTGACCATTGGATCCTGGTTGACCGTCCTTTCCATCGGGACCATCTTGTCCAGGGGGGCCAGGTGGTCCGGCAAGTCCTGATTTGCAGCTGCAGCAACCACCGGACTGCTGGATGAGCCACCATGCACTCCAGCATCAGATGGGTATTCGCTTGGTGCATCGTAGCCGGCTTGACGCTTCACGATTCCTCCTCGAACTCCCTTGATTCTCTGCATACGCTCGTACTGGTTGAAGAGACCATTCGTTCGGTGTTTGCAGAAGTCAACTTCGGTTTGCAGGGAAGACTGGACATGCTGCATGTAGTTGTACAGAGCCGGAATAGCAACGATGGCCGTCAGAGTGGCGACGGTGCTAAAACAACCATGGATTAGTCATAATACAAAAATAGCAAATGCTTTAGAAGAAACAATGAACATAAAGAGGATAATAGATTAGAAATCTCGACCTGATACAAATGCCGAAGAAGGCGATGCGACGGAGACCTTCCGCCTCATGCCAAAGTTTCTTTTCGTCGATGCTATCGGAGGAATGCATGCCGGTATCTGCAAATGTCCTCGGGTCGCTTATATACGGGCAACATCGTCCCGCCCCTCACATCGGTTTACCGGTCCAAATGCCTAACTTCAAGGGATTTTTACACACAACATGCCACGGCAAGGGTGAGAATAGTGCAATTGATCAGCGGTTCCCTTGTAGTTTAAAGTCAAAGATCGTCTGAAAAGTGAGAGCTATAGACCCGTTATGGTATGCACGAGAGAGAACGAGAGATCAACGAGAGTGACAGCCGAGCGTTATCGTATCTCACATCGGGGTTTACATTAACTCAGCGAACTTGCACTGTTGATGACTGAAAAACTACAGAACCCACTTCCTTATCGACCTTCTTTCAAATAGCACCAACACGGATTGCAGACAAAAATCACTTCCGTTGGGGCAGCTGGTGAAACCAGGTTCCTGTTCTCAACATAACATCTAGTTCACGACTTTTTCGACCCTGTCATTCAAGAGATGAAACTGATAGCACATGAGATCATCCAGTCCATTTATAGCGCGACTAATTGACAAGAAGCAGTCAGCTGCCCGAACAAGCTCAAAGAGCTAGTTTCGCGAGGAACTTTGGCCTAGTTGATCAGGCAAAACCAGAACTCTCCTGTATGAACGTAGGCCTTATCCTTACGGGAGTTAAAGCTACAGTCATGCAATCGAAGCTTTCGGCATTGGTCTACTTTTCTGGGACCCTATGGGCATTACATCACAACCACAATTGCTAAAAAACCCGATTTTTCCCTTTTTTTTCTTGTAGTCCGCTTTGATACCTCCATAGGGAAGGAAGGTTTTTTGGCTCAGGCGGGAGTCGATCAGGGACTCAACCGGGACAGCGCTCGTGCCCACTTTGCACCACATCGTTTGCTATCTTCTTATAGCCCTTGATAGCAGAGATGATCAGCGGTCAGTTTTTCTAGAGTGCGCCGCAAGTTGCTATTCTATTCTCCGACAAGTTTGGTACGAGATCATCCGCGGTGGAAACATGGGCGGTCTGAAGAGATTTCAGTTTGAACCGTTGCACTGCCTTCAGTCATTGCATTTACAAAATGCGGCTGTAAGACATTACTATGTTTAACGGCAAAAAATCTCTGTGATCCACTGGCTCCACATAAATAGCCGGAAGAAAGATGTGCTTGAACTTCTGAGTAATAGGTGGTAAACTGAAAATGTCCCCGTTCTGAACAGTGGGAGGGGGCATGACAAGGCGCACAAGTTCTTCCATTGGGATAATGTGCCAAAACCGAACCATTGATTATGTTCACATTCGCGACGTCATAATCTGTCCGGGCGGCTTTAATAGGGATAGAATGAGCCCACTAACGGTGATGGTTGGTTTTCTTTCTCAGTCGATCACTAGCAGATAGCTATTGTAGAGATATGCAGCCGAAAACGGGCTCATTCCGCTCTTCCTGAACCCAAGAAGACGAATTTTGGACCAGTTTTGGAGCGTGGAATTAGCAAGTAGCTCAGGGAATGGCTCAAATGGTTACCAGTAGCTTTACATGCTGCTTTTTCAAAAATCGTCTAGCGTTAGAGGTAATCGAATTTGAATAAGAAAGAACGTTCTGTCAACTCTCACCTGCTGTCGCGCCACGCATTTGGCACTCAATTGCAATAGTGAAGGTGGTCTGTGCCGTGCCTGCTCCATCAATAGAACTGCTCAAAATATTGCGTATCAGTCCTTGCTGACAAGTCTGGAAACATGCAAAGTGACTTGCTTTGTTCTCCGCCATTATCAACGAAGTTTGTCAAACCAAACCGCCGGCACCTTCAGAACCTTAGCATCCAAGATCCATAGGAAGGCCAAGCCGTAGCCAGGTAGACAGTAGACAGGCTATGACTTTATAGACGTCACAGCCTGTCTTGGTCTATAGAAAGTCACTGTTCGCTCCCAAATTATTCTAGCTGTTCTCATTATATGGAAGCTGCTATGCCGTTAGTAAAAGTGACAGCATAGAACAACCCAAAAACCTGAACACAGCAGTGAGTCAAACAGGTTCGCTATAAAATACTGGACGAGTTGGAGAGACGACAATAAAAGATGAGTATTGCTGTAATTGGAGTTAAGCATGAGGTCGCAGAGGCTGGTGTAATCGGTACTTCGAACCTCCCGTTTCTAGCTGCTTCCTTAGTTTGTTCTCTCCTTTTCGCCCGCTTCCCACATTGACCACAATAATTATCTGTAAAATAATTATGAAAACGTATAAAGTGTGCCATTCAGAGGAAACGTCAGCACACGTAAAGAGATCAAGTTTGAGATTTTGAGGCTCCCGAGATGAACTACAGCGCATTCTGCACTTGAAAGTTGCAGGAAAGAGGTAAGGCAAAAAGGCGTCATAACAGCAGCGCTCGCCATCAAAGCTAATATCGCGCAGGGTGACAGTTGAGGCTACAAAAAAATACAAAAATTTAAAAGCAAAAAATGCAAAATATTATTGCATTGTCCGTAGAAGAGCGAGCCCGCTACCACCGCATCCTTCTTCACGAGTGGGTGCACACATCTATAGCCTTTTCCAAGCCCAAGAAGGTCCACAGTTTTCTCTTAGCCTGAGGCAGCTAAGCAACGGCTGGGTATTTTCTGGAGGCAGCAGTCCTCTAGAGACCATCTTTCTGGTACAGCTATATCCCTCATCCATAGACCCGAAAGGTGGCGATTGCTGCGAAGAAGACAATGTAAGCGAGTTCATACGCAGCACGATTCAGTCACTGAGGCAGGGATGCGTTGTGGCGAGCCAGCAACTAGATGGGAAACTCTCAACTAGCAACTAGATGGCTCTACTAGTTTACTCGCGATGCCCAGTTTGAGACTAACGTTTAGGCAACCTCATTATGGTTCACAATTTGTTTTTCATCACCCACTCCTTCATAGTCAAGGGCGCTGAGATTCCAAGCACGTTCGTGTGACGGAAGATATCAGGGGGGGGGGTTGAAGGAAATATGGTATCCTTTAACACTTCCGCTCAATTCCAGGAGCACGTCCTTTTTGCACCCTTTCCCTTCTTTGGTGACCGTATTGAAATGCACAAAGACACCTACCACACCCTTCAGACGGATTCTGATGATACAATGATCGAGACCTTGAGACCAGTTTCCGATGCATCGAATAAATGTCCAGAGTGTCCACCTAACACGACAATGGCACATGAGTTTTACGAGTTCCTTCGTATCAAGTTCGTAAACGTAAGTGTCTTTTTTGCCCCCTCTCATTCGCTCGTTTGACGAAAGATATCAGACACTACTTCTACTTTATTTGGTTCTATTAGATCATCCCATTCAAAAGTGCCGAGACATATAGAGGAATGGCAGAAAAGCAAAGGGGATAGAGCAGCGGGCTACTATACCATTTGGAGGCTAGTACCTTTAGCTGTGTATCTGTGAAATTTGGCGAACCTACCCACAGAAGTTCTCGAGAAATTGAAAAGAAGCCTGAGTGGTGAAAATCAGCGCCGGATTTTCAAATCAGGCGTCATAAGAGGAAAGTGCGCTGCTCAAATTTGACCTGCGCCGGACCATAGTTGTGTGTAATGGTGTTCTCGAAATACAAGGTGGAAGATTTGGTTCAGGAGCCCGAAGAAGGAAGAAAGGAAAAAATTTGTTGTCGTGGATGGTCCCATAATGTTCATCCTGCACAAGAAAAAAGGGTGGATGAAGTCAAGCGCTGAATGTCTGATCCAGACCTGGACCTTGTCGAGCTTCCCCGCGAGACTGACATCCCTGCTGCAACTGCTGCCCGAGTTATGTCCGATAAACTGAGGATGGTCAAGAGGGTGTGCGCATGGGTACCTAATTTTCTTGTAGAAGCACGAACGCAGTACCGATTCTATGCCTCTAGTAGTAATGTTCTCAGCATGAGATGTCACTCACAACTGTGAAAACGCACCCCGGCCCTAGATGAAATATGGGTGGTCTCGGACCTCGAGTCGAAACTCACAATCGTCAATTTTGTATGAATGCAGATGAGAAGCCGCCCGAGTTCTACCATGAAGAGTTACGTGGGCGCAAGTGGATGATCATCATAGCGAAGGATTCCCACACTGTGGCTTTCAGGCGGCTCTATACAGAGAATAAAATCGTCGCTGTCGGTGTATATTGCCTGTTCCTCGGCAATCAGATCGACAAATGGATGATACCACACAACTACAAGAAGGCCACCGTTGCTCGTCATAGCCCCTCACCCCGAGTAACTGTATTGTAATGAAGCGCTAGAACACAAACAATGCTGAGACGCTGGTTCAATGGCCTCACTCATCTAAGATGAAGCCGTTCGATAATCGCCTTCTTTTGGTCAGTCGAAGGTAGTTACAAAATATTGACAATATCTTGTCATTCGCCGAAATTGCCATCAACAGCAATTCACTCGCACTTGTTGAAAAAACAAAGGCTAACCAGAGCGTCCAAACCCCTGTGGCACTGGGAGCGGGTCATTGTAAAGGAGGGTTCTGCTCAACTCTAAGCCAAATATTCACTTTTTCCATCTCGTTTCTCTCTTCGTTTTATATGAATTGAGGTCTCTCGCACTTTGTGAATCGCGATGACCTACTCTCGTTCTCGCTACCATAGATTGCCTTCAGCTCAGTTAACGACAAGCAACATAGTACATTGTCTATGGCACATGTGTTAAGTGCTTTAATCAATTATAGCTTAGCATGAGGCTTTCTGATATTACATACTGGTTCAGTGGCCGACGCGACTTGGACACCTAACGGATAAAAATGGTAAGTGGCCTGGTTTTCGTGAATTATAATGTGAATAACTCCACAATTTTCCGTAGTTTCGAATGAGCAGTGAAACACGCTTCATTTTCGAAGGGTCTTGTTTAGAGAATGTAGGGAAATTGATCAAAAAAAGTTCTGTTCTCGGTCCACTTGTGGCTATAGCAGGAAAGCGTGCTGCCCTGATAATGCCCTCTGAATCGCTGCGGTTTTTTTGCATGACTCAAGAAAAGTTCATCGTCAGCGCAAAGACCTGATGATGGTGGAGAAGAAGTC